GGTCAAAACAGATTTCAATAGCATTTTGAACTATGGAAGAAAATGGGTGTAAGTGGTTTAGGGAGAACCCATGAGAATACTCACTCTACGGAGCAAACAGATTAGGGCGGGTGAATGCAAACTAAATATGTCCTCCGCGCCCTCGACACTTTCCATGCTACACCATAAATTGATTAGCGGCCGGCAAAGCAATGCTTCTTCTTGTGCCTTTACTGGGTCCCCCTCTTCGATACCAGTGAGCCACTGAGGTCAACTTGCACTGCCCAAGCGGGGTTCAAAATCTCCGCCAGTCCCGGAAGTGGCAACTCGAATGCTAATCGCTCGCCCCAGCTTTTGCCGATCTGCGTCCCTTTGTTTCGGGTTCCCCATTTCCTTGGGTAGAACTGAATCTATCATGGATTTAGGGGTCAGACATGGTTGCCTCTGATGTTGATAACTCATATTTTCCGACCTACTACTGTTCTCTCTTGGTGTGTCGAATCCCGTCTCCGGGGGGATGTTATTCAGTAAATTAGGGCTTCCCGGGACCGCGACGGGATTCCGACAAATAGGCTTATGGCGCCCGGAAATGAGTGACAAAGCTCGATCTAGCTTCTCCTCTTTCCTCGCGTGGCGACATCAACTAGGCTACTACATAGTACTCGTACACCCATTGTGACCCCTCCCCGCTCGGATCATACGGCTACCATTACGATTCTGTCTCGAGATTAGTCATGGAAGTAGTAGCTTACATCTTGCATATGTCATGGTTGGTGAGCGAGCCCTTAAAGGTTTTTCTTTGAGAATAATCCCACCAGTACTACCTAGTGAAAGTACTACTGAGGGATCATTCATTTGATCTAAAAGATAACAAAGGGCCCCTGACTATCAGGACCCGCCGTGGCTTGCGATGCACGCGAGTGCGGGATGGGCATTGGCTGCGATAGTACTCCATACATGAGCTGAAATTGCTTGTTTCCCGAGGTCGGATGATAAGCCCTGTGTTCGCCTGACTCACTGTAGTCCCGATGCACCCGCCAGTGCCAGTGGACCATTAAATAATTTCCAAGCCCGGGAGGTTATCCAGTTGAACACGGGCAGGCGATCGATGAGTGGCACCATCTAGGGTGTTAGCATATATATACCTAGGTACACGTCTACCTCCATGTTAGAACCAGCCACAACCTTGGAACCCAAGGGCCGTCAATAGACAGAACGAACTACTCAAAATAAACACCAATGGAGCACCAAAAAGACTCATCGAAAGAGGTCAAATTGGAATACCATCTATCTCTTCAAAAAGCATCAAAACTACATCAAAAACGAGGGGACGATAGCTACCAGATACAAGCAGAATTTAGCAAAAAATGGACTCGCGGGGAATCGAACCCCGGACCACTCCCATGCTAAGGGAGTATTATACCACTAAACCACAAGCCCAATTTGATGAAAGGCGAGCGGATTTTGGGATACACAGGCCAAAGTTGGTGATATCTAACCAAAAGAAGGGGTCCGGACATCCTAAAGGTAGTCGATGATATCCACCGCTTAAAGTGAACATAGGCATTGTGTGTTTAGTTTTGCGATTCTCTTATTAAAACGATATTGACAATCACTTGTCCTCACCACATGGTTCCGCTTTCATTGGACAACCATGTGGCTTGGTTACACGAGGCATGTTTCCTGTCGGCTCATGCCGATCCTCCGACTGCGCATGTGGTTGATGGATGATTGGGGGGAATTCTCCGAATCTGCATGTTCTTGCGACCTTCCCGGGTGCTTCAATCCTATAACAGCGTCTTCTATCAATCCGAGTTCGGGGGTTTCGTGCAATGATTAACAGCGGTCAATCGACTTATGTTTACATAGAGAAATGGAGTACGGAGCGAAGGCCGGGCGAGAGTGGCCCACTTACCCGCCACCAATAGCCGCTCGTGACCGAATTTTCCACGTTATGAAAATGGGCCTAGAAAGACCCAGGAACTATGTTCAAAGCCAATGGGGGCGAACTCCACCGAATGAGGTGACTCCTAACTTTTGGATTGCTAACCTTTGACCCCTCTCCATCTTCAGACATTTCATCTCCCCCAGATCCCCACAATATCTCGACCTGCAAGTACATCAAAGGCAGCGTGAGAGGGCAGTTCCTCACAGGAAATCCGTCCCCTTCATAACAAGGGAAGAGAAAATTAAAGAAACCTACGGACATCGGAACTTTTTCCCGCATATAATGTCCACTTTTTCAGGCCTCACTACCACCACATCTAATGCATCGGCTCGCCATCAACATGGCCTTGACCCTACTCTCGACCACACGACCGTGTCCGAAATCCATGAGACCGAGGACCATGTGACCAGAGCTGATCTGGAAAAAACTGGTACGCATGTCTCTGATTTTGAAAAGCAGTATCAACCCCACACCCTCAACCAGAATGCCGAACATGAGCTAGCTGCTGCCAACAAGTCGGAAAACGACGAAGACTTCCATCGCACAGCTTCTACGGTAGCCCCTTCACACCGCTCCGTTCGTAGGGACCCCATGAGCCGGGTGACGACTGACGCGGAGGGGAACGTTTATCCAGAGGGTGGGCTAGAAGCATGGCTGGTGGTACTCGGGAGCTTTCTGGGTCTTTTTGGCTCTCTCGGACTCGTCAACACTATTGGTACATTTCAGGCCTACATCGAGAATCACCAGCTGAAGGACTATAGCTCCGGTAACATCGGATGGATCTTTGGCATGTATGCCTTTTTGACCTTCTTCTGCGGTGTTCAGATCGGCCCCATCTTCGATGCCCGCGGGCCGCGTTTTCTTGTCCTGGCAGGTTCTATCTGCGAGATGGCAATGATGATCCTCCTGGGATTTTGCACCAAGTACTGGCATTTTATGCTTGTGATCGGTGTTCTGGGCGGAGTGGGTGCATCTTTGATATTCACTCCAGCCATCTCGGCGATCGGCCATTTCTTCTATGAAAAACGTGGAGTCGCAACCGGTATTGCTGCTACCGGTGGCTCGATTGGAGGAATTGCGTTTCCACTCATCCTGGAAAGCCTTTTCCCCAAGATTGGATGGGCCTGGGCAACCCGTGTGATCGCTTTGATATGCCTGATCGCTTTCGGATTCGCAAACCTACTCATCAAATCTCGCCTTCCACAACGGCCTTTCTCTAGAGAAAATATCCTTCCAGATTTCAAGATCTTCCGCGAGCCTCGATTTGCATTGACTACCGCTAGCGTGTTCTTTATCGAGTGGGGTCTTTTCGTGCCTATCAGTTATATCTCATCTTATGCTCTGGATCACGGTTTCTCCACAAAACTTTCATACCAGATGGTAGCCATTTTGAACGTTGGCTCATTCTTTGGAAGATGGCTTCCAGGATTTTTTGCCGACTTCCTCGGCCGATTCAACACTTTGATTGCGACTGTGGCTCTCTGCCTGCTGTGCAATGCATGCCTTTGGCTGCCTGCCGGGAACAGTCTGGCATTGCTCATCGTATATGCCGTCCTCTTTGGCTTCTCCAGTGGAAGTAACATCAGTTTGACGCCTGTCTGCGTCGGTCAGCTCTGCAAGACCGAAAACTATGGCCGCTATTACGCAACCGCATACACGATTGTGAGCTTCGGGTAAGTATCATTTCTTGAACGCAGTTTCTGATGTCATTTGTACTCTTGACTGACATATCCACTGCCAGCACCCTGACCGGCATTCCTATTGCCGGAGAAATCCTATCGCGCTGCAACGGTGAATACTGGGGCCTTATTGCTTTCACTACAGTCTGCTATGCTGCCGGTCTCGCTTGCTGTACCGCCGTAAAGGTCATACAGGTTGGCTGGCGACGTCCCCTTGCTATCTACTAGGCCGTACAGGCTACGCATCCACACCGACTTGAAAAGGTTACAGAAATGCAATAATTACTTACCTTTCGAATACAAATGACACGACTTAATGATCTCACAGAATAAAAGCGACTAAATTTGCACAGAGATTGATTTTTTGGAGGGTTGAAGATAGTACCATGTTGAGTGCCAGGTCCTTCCTAGTGGTACGAAATTATTTTGCTCCCCACGACAATATTAGCGACCCAGCAACAAACTTGAACGGCGCCAATTTCGCATACGTCTTATCAGAAGTGAAAATGTTTATAGTTTAAACTAATGCTCATGAATTTTTGATTGTGACCTCTATCATTCCTTTTTCGCATGGCCATCTCGAAAATTCAATTCACGATACAATGATCTCATCCGCCAGGGAGTCGCATAATATCTCCGAAGAGAACAGGAACAGGAATCGAGTTTAGGTCCAGATCTATGTAATTTGGCGGTCACAATGATGGTACCTGAACCTGTCTCAGCCTGAGGAACGGGCGGAATGTATTTCCAAGAGGAACGGCCGAAAGCGCTGCGGGGACCATGGAACATAGTAAACATAGGGCTTCCCTCAGCAAAACCAACCATATATGGTCGTCAGCCCGTACCTGGAAATCAAGTCGATGACATCGCTCGATCATCACTACCCTTCCAGGATTCTGGCTATGCGCTACATATTACAAGGTCTTTGTCTCTGCGCCCTTTGTCCTTCTACCTTGTTTCCATCTTCGCTTTTGCTTGCTGTCCAGATTGCTTCGCTGTGTGTTGTACTGCTTCTTTCCGGCGGGTCGTGCAACGCTGTGATCTGCATCGAATTGGCTGTTGCGTGGACTTTGCTTCGATCCGATTGATTTTGCTTTACAACCTCGTTTCTTGATCCTTGTTCCATCCTACACAGCCATTATAAAGTCCGTTTGAGTGGCCACGGAACGTCTCGACTTTGCTATGATCAATTGCCCTTTGACGAAACACTCCATCGATTGATTGTCTTCACGCCCAGGCTCTTGATCCCTCATCATGTATCCCAAAAGATGCATGGCCTTGTTGGCCGCTGCTTCTTGCGTACTCTTGCAGAGTCTTCCAGCGAGTGCAAACGAGCTCACTAATCTCGTTGACCGCGACGAGAACCGTCACCTGCTGCAGCGTCATAATATCGCTCACACGAGCGCCTTGAGTTCAGCCATTGCTTCCGCTACTGAATCCCCCCCTACTGAAGAGACCGGAAATCCCTGTTCAAGTTCAACCGGGTCTACTGGTGCACCAGGCGGCAGTACCTCTCCTGGCGGTGGTCCGTCCCCAGGGGGAGGTACAAGCCCTGGCGGTGGCACATCACCTGGAGGAGGAACTAGCCCTGGTGGAGGAACGAGCCCTGGTGGAGGCACATCTCCTGGCGGTGGTAGCTCTGGTGAATCTAACTGCCCGATCTCTTCTTTCTGTGCCCCATTCTGTCCGACTGCAACTGCGTCTGTATCTACAGTGACAGTGACAGTAAATAGCTGTCCAACATCTGGCGGTGGTGCCGGGGGTGGTTCATCCGGAGGAGGAGGAGGAGGAGGAGGAGGCTCACCTGGAGGCGGTAGAAACCCAGGAGAAGGAGGAGGTGGTGGAAACCCAGGAGGAGGTGGACATCCAGGTGGAGGTGGAGCGGGTGGAGGTGGTGCTGGAGGAGGAAGCAGCAGTCCTGGAGGTGGTAGTGGAGGAGGACCCTCAACCTCTGGAGGCTCATCAGGTGGAGGAGGATCGAGCAATCCTTCCAGCAGTGCAACAGGCAGTGGCAGTGGAAGTGCAAGTGCAAGTGCAAGCACAACCAACCCAGGATCGCAAAGTACTTCCAAGAGTTCGACTCCCTTCATCCCCAGCACCCGTACAACCGGGTCAACTTCCACAGCTTCCACACCTAGTCCTCCAAGCTCAAACCCAGGCTCTAGCCCTAGCACCTTGACAACAGTACCCTCGACCACACCTCCACACTCGTCTCCGTCCGAACCACCAAAGACGTCTCCATCTGAACCACCAAAGACGTCTCCATCCACAACCCCCGAAGTGTCTACATCTAAATCCACGTCCACGTCCACATCGCCATCCACATCGCCATCCACATCTACATCCACATCCACATCCACCACGTCCACGACCACGACCACCGGCGAACCGTCGCACAAAGGAAAACACAAAGACAAAGGAAGTCATTTTCGCCGACGAGACTCCAATGTGATTCGACGGGAGCCCGGTATCGTTCCACGGGGGGGTGCTGAGGAATATAACCGCGCCGTTCACTAACACGAGCAGTAATTTCTCGAATGCGACGACTGCTCTTAACGTAACCCATGCCCTGACTCATTTCCCCCCGATAGCGACGGATATTCGCCCTTCGAGGCCGCGTTGGGTTCGTCTTTGGAATTAATTTGCTGGTTTTTTGGTCGGTGTCTCTTGGCCGTTGGTACTGGTATCTTTAGAAGCGAGAGGGCGTTGAGTTGAATAATCTCAGGATCTGGTTGACAGTTTCAGCCTTATATAGATCTATTAATATGATTGCTCGTTTTGATGATCTCTTTTCTGGGGAATGAGTGTAATGCGGTCCTCAATAGTAGTACTACCTGGACTCATTGTGCCTTCATTACCTAGGTATACAGTATGGATACCGATACTAGTAGTAGTACACTTGGGACTAGGCGAGGAATGATAGTATAGAATGAATCCTTGCATTTCGGCCTCGCCTGAGATGAAACACCCCAAGGAAGAACCACCTAAGACACCACCAGTGGCAGTAGAGAAAAAGAAAAGAGAAGCCTCGGAACCTTGGGCGTTCTCTCTCGCACCAAAAAGATGGCTTGACAAGAACGTGAAGGGAACAACTAGATACAATACAAAAATAGAAGTGATGACAGAAACAGGCTCCGAGGCAAGATTGCAAGCGAGAGAATAGATGGCAAAGCAAATGTGACGGCACTGGAAATCGCAATGGATAGATCAAAAGTAAAAGCACGCCTTCTTGTTGCAAACTCCCCCTTCAGTCACCCACTTGACTGCCCAAGCCCTTGTTGAAGATAAAAAGAAATAATACGCCAAACACCACCAAAGATAGTCACCATGGTAAACGAATGCAGGAACAGGATCACTTTGTGAAGTGGGAAAATGACAGGAGAATGAGGTAGGTGGGTATGAGATGAATAAAATGTCAAACGTAGGAAAAGGGGGAGGCGCTCACGGGGCCCTCTCAAAGAGGTCTTCAAGAAGCGCTCAAAAAGACGCAATATGGACAGGGTATCAACACATCAAGCCATTGAGGCAGATTTGCATGGCGAGAAAGTACATGTTCAAGAGATGCAAATGAGCTCAGGTACTGTTGGATCGCAGTAGTGACTATTTGAGGAAACAAAAAGAATTAGCCACGGTGTTCGAATGTATTTTCCTCTTCAACATACACTGCTTTTAACGTACCCGATCATCGATCATCTCTTCGTCCCTGTCCTCTGTTGGGCTCACTACGCTTCCCCGAATGATCGGACCTGAGCTCGTGACAGAGCGAGTCTCAGTACTCGGCCGCGTGGGAGCTGGCAACGGTTTCTTATTTTGAGACTGTTGCTGCAGTTGCTGATTCTGATTATCAGACGGAACAGAGGAATGGATCGGGTGCATTTCCCCGCTGCTGGAAATTCGAGACTCCTTGCTCTTTTCGAGCAGAGAGCCGCCGAGCGTAGCACACTTGAGAATGGTCTGCATCATTTGGTTCTGCTTAAGGGGCTTGGACAGATATTCGTCCATCTGAGCCTGGATGCACTTTTCACGATCTCCCAACATGGCGTGTGCTGTGAGAGCAATGATCGGCGTCCGCTGCAATGCGCTCTCTCGTTCATACTCGCGAATCTTGCCCGTGGCTTCAAATCCACCCATGACAGGCATTTGAACGTCCATGAGAATAACGTCATACCGGCGCTTCTTGACGGCCTCAACGGCCTCAAGACCATTGCCGACGACAAAGACGTTGTGGTTGTGTTTTTGGAGTATCTTCATTGCGAGTTGCTGGTTCACATCGTTATCCTCAGCGAGAAGAATATCGAAGGAGCGAGAGTTGTCGGTAGTGATTGGAGTCGAGCGGCCTTCGAGAGCTGGTAGCATACCGTTGCCCAAATCGATGGGTTGACAAGGTGTCGTCATATATGAGCTGATACCAAGATCCAGAGCGGACTTCAGGCTCACGCATACCAAGGGACAGACCAACACGATGGGAATATATTTGAACTCATCGAAAGTTCGCAAAATCCGAGCAGTGTCGACAGAGTCCACAATAATGACATCGTACGCATGGCCCGACTCCTTTCCAGAGGGGTCCTGAATTTCAGGTGGTGGAACATGTTCTTCATTCCGCACAACCAGGGGCTCCAAGTCAATCTGCTTAAGCATTTTCATGACATTAGCCGCCTGGATTCCATTCTGTCCCTTGTCGATGAAAAGGACTCGGTGGTCGCGGTACGGCATAAGTTGAGATGCAATGACCTTCAATGACTGGTCGGCAAGTTTGACCACGCAGGTAAAGTGGAATGTACTGCCGTGACCGTACTCGGAAGTGACCCAGACATCGCCACCCATGAGATTGACTAATCGCTTGGAGATGGACAGACCAAGGCCTGTACCACCGAACCGACGAGTTGTGGATCCATCGGCCTGTTGGAAGGTGTCAAAGATCAGGTCCAACTTGTCTTCCTCAATACCAATACCCGTGTCAGAGACGGAGAATTCGAAGGCATATTCATTGGTGGTGCATTGTTCACGATCCGATTTGCGGATAGTTAGTTTAACTTCACCATGTTCTGTGAACTTGATGGCGTTTCCAACCAGGTTGAGAATAATTTGGCGTAGACGGAATGGGTCACCAATGACATAATCAGGCACTGTATTGTCGACTTGATATGTCAAGCTCAGGAATTTCTCATTTGCCTTGACAGCCAGTGTCTTCAGAGCATTGAAAACGGTGCCACGCACGGTAAACGGAATGCTTTCAATCACCATCCGGTTGGCTTCAATCTTCGAGATATCTAGTATATCGTCGATGATCGTGAGCAAACTGTTGGCCAGATTGTGCACGACATTCAGCATTTCTCGGGTGTATGGTTTCAAGTCGTCGGTATCCAATGTGAGTTGCGTCATTCCGATGATACCATTCATCGGGGTTCTGATCTCGTGTGACATGTTGGCCAGGAACTCGGATTTAGTGCGGTTGGCAAGTTCGGCAGCCTCCCTGGCGGCAGTGTTTCGCTGAATACTATCACGCAGATTGGAAACCATCTTGTTAATCTTGCGCTTCAGTTCGTCCATCTCACCGGAAGCATTGACAGTAATAAGTTTGGTGAAATCTCCGTCTGTCGCGGCATCCGTGATTTCACCAAAGGCACGCACTTGGGATGTGAGATTCTCGGCCATGGTGTTGACGTCCTCCGTGATCTCTTTCCAGGTACCTGCAATTCCCTCAACGTTGGCTTGTCCACCCATTTTACCATCGACACCGACATCGCGGGCGACCTTTTTGAGTTCCATGGCGAACTTGGCCAGCCGACCCACCATGTGATTGATGGTGACCTTAAGGGTAAGGATCTCTCCTTGGGCGTGCACTTCAATCTTCTTGCTCAGGTCACCCTTGGCAATGGCCTGAGTGACGTCGGAGATACTTCGCACTTGAGATGTCAGGTTCTGGGCCATGGTATTGACGTTGTCGGTAAGATCCTTCCATTTTCCCTCCACATTGTCGACCTTTGCTTGGCCACCGAGGGTACCATCGGTACCGACCTCACGGGCGACTTTGCTGACCTCGAAAGCGAAGGTGTTTAGACGGTCAACCATGCCGTTGATAGTGCTCTTCAGGTCGAGAATTTCACCCTGAACATTGGCCGTGACTTTCTTGGTCAGGTCACCCTTAGCAACCGCCGTAGTGACATCGGCAATCTCACGAACTTGAGTCGTCAGGTTATTAGCCATTCGATTGACGTTCTCAGTGAGATCCTTCCAAGTGCCCTCAACGTCGTTCACGGTGGCTTGACCACCAAGTACACCGTCTGTACCGACCTCCTTGGCGATCTTGGTAACTTCCTGCGCAAATTGTCGCAGCTGGTCCACCATAGAGTTGATAATATCCTTGAGCTCAGCAATTTCACCTCGGCAATTGGCTTGCACCTTTTGCGTCAGGTCACCCTTAGCGACAGCCTTAGTGACAGTAGCAATATCTCGTACTTGCGTTGTCAGATTGTTGGCCATTGCATTGACGTTGACTGTGAGTTCGTTCCACATGCCCTGGACACCTTCGATTTGAGCTTGACCTCCCAGTACACCTTCTGTACCGACATCACGAGCGACTCGCGTGACTTCGGTTGCGAATGTTCTAAGTTGGTCCACCATGGTATTAATCGTTTGTTGTAGTTCGAGAATTTCACCTTGAGCACGGCTTTCAATCTTCTGACTAAGATCACCGTGCGCGACAGCAGTTGTAACAGTAGCGATTTCTCGCACCTGATCCGTTAAGTTTTTGGCCATAATGTTCACGTTTTCAGTAAGTTCCTTCCAGATACCATGGACACCGGTGATTTGTGCTTGTCCACCTAGTATTCCTTCAGTTCCGACCTCGCGGGCGACTCGAGACACCTCACTACCGAAAACTTGTAGCTGGTCCATCATGGTGTTGATTGTTCGTTTGAAAGTAGCGATTTCCGGGTCCATTTCCAGGGGGTGAATTTGGACCTTCATCGAGAGGTCACCGTTGGCGACCTGCGTAATAATACCACCGATTTCTCGCAAGGCCTTCTGGAAGGCTTCGTTTGCCTGTTGGTGTTTGCGTAGCTCGCGTTCTAGAAGGACGACATCCTCATTCTCAACCTTGGTGAGGGCACGGCGGGTGTGCTCCTCTTGTTTCAGCAATTCGTCGCGAACCTGCGCAATGATGTCCTTCTGGAAGCTTATTTCCTCGGCCTGTTTTTGCACATGGTTTCTGAGGATGCTGATATCTTCTTCGCGGACGACCCGGGTGCGGGCTCCAGTTTCGTCCTCCTCGTCGGTTTCTTCATCGTCAAGGTCCACAGTCGGGGGCGGTTGCTCTTGCACTTGCTCTTCGGGGCCCGAGGGGGGTTCGCTGTCGCCGATAGGGTTGATTCAGGTTTTGCTGCTGTGAGGGGCAATAAGAGTCAGAACCTTGACCGGACGACAAGCGATCGAGCCCAAAGGTCCACAAAAAGTCTGGGTTCTTCTCGTTGGATCCGAGAGCAGCCAGGGTGGTCTGCTGGGGATTGTCGGGGAACGTGTGATGACTGACAGCTTGGAATTCCAGGTGGTGCACTCGGCGCACCAAGGCCTCTA